GTAAGAGAGGCTAAGAGTTTTATCAAGAAAAAAAAGTTAATTCTTGATGAGACTAGAAAAAAAAAGAAAGATAGAGAAATCCTTTAAGAAGGATAAAAGCAAGGGCAAGACAAGAAAGACAAAGGTCGCTGAAAATGACTCGGCAAAAGATAAAAAATAGTACTTCTCCTATGGTAAAGACGAGTATTGAAAGAGGAATTGTAAGGAGTACTTTGTAGAAAAGGTGAAATACAAACTTGGAGAAGCTTTATATATATTTATGATTGATCTTTATTTGTCAATAAATTATAATAATGCATGGGTATTGAATACCGATAGTACATCACAAATCTACAATTCATTGTAGGTTCTAATAAGACAAAGGGGATTAATGAGAGACGAAGTGGACCTCTATTGAAAAATTTCAATAAAGGTCTCGTAGCAATGAGACATAAAATATCATTTTCCAAAAGTATATTTCAAAAAAAACTCTTATAAAAAGGGCAGATATAGATAGTATTATCCTATGCCTCAATAAATATGATATATAATTTATGTTATATTATATACCAAGCTTAATGTAACACATGCTCTAAGTGTTACGAGCATATATCAAGTAGATCCAAAGGTCTATCTCGTCTGTCACTAATCTTCTAGGCATTGCCAGAACCTATAATAAATTACATGTATGAGATGAACTATCAGTATTTAATACTCATGTAGTATCATAACTTTCTAATAGATAGAGATCAATCATGAATGAAGCATCTCTAAGCTTTTTTTTTTTTTTTGCCTTTTATGTAAGATACTTCTTGCAATTCCTCTTCTAATGTTCATCTTTATCATAGTAGAAGTATTGGCCTTTATCTTTTGTCGGAGCTCTTTTAGTAATATTTGTCTTGCTCGATTTGCCCTTATCCTTACCATTCTTAAGAGATTTTTCTTCTTTCATTTTCTTTCTAGTCTCACCAACATAGAGAACTAGCTTCTCTTCAGCCTCCCTCAACATATTGAGGAGTCAAGGAGAGTCACCTTAAGCTTATTCATATTAAAATTTATTATGAATTGAGAAAAAAAAATCTGGGAGAGATTGAAGTATGATATTTAGGTTATCCTTTAGGACCAATCTTAGACCCATGAACTTCTCAATCTATTCAATCATTTTAAGGACATGATTCTGAACCAATGCCCCCTCAGTCATTCTTATGCGGAAGAGACTCTTATATCTCTCATATCATTGAGTCTTCCCTCTTTCTTAAACAATTTACGAAGATAAAGGAGGATGGATCCGACATCTATCTTTTTATGTTGTCTCTATAACTTAGAGAGTTATTGATGCCAACATATAACACTAACTAGAGTAGAATTATCTACGTACTTGTTGTAGTAAGTAATTTCTTCCTCACTCGCCCCTACCTCATGTTCGGGCATTATCATATCAAAGACATACGTAATTTTCTTTATTGTGAGAACAATTCTCAAGTTACAAAGCCAATCTATATAATTTAGACTAGTGAGATAGTTGATATCAAGTATACGATGTAAGGGATTTGCAAACGATATTTTTCTGAAAATAAAGATGTAGTAAGGAATCAATAATATGTTATTTTTTAGATTTTAAAAAATAATTAAGATATGAACTTTTATCTTAATATACTAACACTATTTTCTTATGAAATATACGACACCCTCCGGCATGTGAATTAGAATCTCTAGTAGATTTCTAGTGGAGATCAATATCTAATTGTCATCTTAGCATGACATCGAAGGATTCGACTAATTATACTAAACCTAAAAGGTAGGCAACTTTTGTCAATCGTTACTCCTTATAATTCTCATCCTATTCAACCTTCGAACCATCATGGCCTTAAGGGATTCAACTAATCATGATATTCGATTAAGTCAGCACTATCATTACAAGATAAGTTTGATTCGATGATATATCCTCGAGAGACTCGACCAAGAATACTATATACTTAGGTTACCGATAACATCTCTATGTCATAAACAAGATCTCAAATCCTTAGGGACTCGACCAACGTAGCTCATATCGAAAAATGATTTTCGCCTATAATGATGGACGACCGTATGAGTTAATCTAATTATCTCACGTTTACCGACTTAATATTATTATTATAGAAGATTTTCTATTCAATTCGGTCTCATAATTAAATATATTGCATCATATATATATATATATAATATTTATATTACATGCAAATTATATATACCTAGTAGATGTAGAAATATATATCACATATATACACAAATATCCATACGATCATGGATTAGAACCTAAAGTGATTAGGCACAAGCCGAAGGCATAATCACTCTCAAAATCTCTGTGTATCTCGGCGCATCTCCATATCCGGTGATCATCTATCTCATCCTTATCGGTTCTACTAACACCTCTATGCTCCCGTCATACCTTTTCATGCAATTATAACTTAGTTATAGGCATGTGAGCCCAAAATGTACATATCTCATATATTCTCAATGCCATTGAACTTCTGGAATGCAGGAAGTTTTCACCCCAACTTCCATCATATATACATATACTTATTGGATACACATATACATATACACAATAATCATATATGGTCCATGATCATATGTCCACAACATAATCATATATGGTACAATAATAATCACATACACATATACACAATAATCATATATGGTCCATGATCATATGTCCATAACATACATCATATATACATATACTTATTGGACTAACTAGGTGATAATTAATTAAACTATGTAATTAATTAAATCTAAATTAACCCTTAATTCAATTAGAAAAAACCCTAGTTGCTAAGCTCCTTGGCCGCCAAGACTCCTTGGCCACGAGGAGTCTTGGGCCATGGCTGCAAGCAACCATAGTTGTGCTCGGCCAAGGAGAGCTTTCGATCAGGGATCGCCAAAAGGGTTTACGGCCAGATGGCAATAAGCAACCCTCTTAGCTAGATTTGTGCGTGCGACTCTTGTAGTCATTTCCCCTTTTTCCCATTAACCTTTTGATGATAAAATTTTGGATATCTTGAACACTTTATACACCAAAAACCTATGTTGTCTTAACATGAAATCTAAAAAAAAATGTAACTAGTTTATATAGAAATTGATTCTACACAATGTGTAGTTAATAACTAGTCATCGCACAGGGAACCTAGCTCTGATACCATTATTGGGAAACCTTAGAGAGCATCACATGCACAATGAAAAATAAAATCAAAAAATTAGCTTTCCCAAATAGAAAACATTGGGTCATCGTATGATGACTAGGAGTGTAAAACTCAAAACGATAAAACCTCATTAAGGGGGTGAGAAATTTTCACTTAGGGGAGATCTAATACCCCATAAAGCACGGATCCTAGTTTATAGGAAGAAAGAACTCTTGTGACCTCCTCTCTAGTAGTAATCCACACAACGAATATAGCAATGACGTACCTCCCTGTACAACGAGTTCTCTCCTCGTGATTACACACCACCATGCACCAGCAATCAAGAGAGGGGTGACTCTCTTATTGAGAGGTTCATGATTAAGAGAAAGATGGGGAGGAGGAGAAAGAAGGCTGGCGATTGTAGTGTCTAGCCTATGACTCATGAAGCCCCAAACTCTATTTATAGAGAGATCCTATTGCTAACCCTAATGGATATGCCTTAATGTGTATTGGATTCTCATCCAATAACTACTAGCTTAATAGATATTGGATCCTATGCAGTAACCACTCTAAGCTCCATTGGGTCTCACCCAATAGATCCATTAAATAGGAGTTTATTGGATATCTCATATCCAATCCTCTATTCGTTGAATTGTCTACCATATGTGTGTGATCTTCTAGGTCCAACATTGAGCTGACTGTGAGTTGTACCTATCAAAACTTTTTTTGACTCAAAACTCCTTCTTACTTAATGAATTATTATTCTCATAATAATTCACTTGATTTATCGACTATGAGCGTACTAGGTCATCACGTCATAATCTTCAAATGATATAAGGGATCTAATATATTGGATTATCTACCCTCAGTTACTATATATCTGTAGTCACTTATCCATCTAATATCCTAGAAACCATATACCAGACATGATATTGTCATGCCCATACGGAATCTATTTGAGTCTCACTCTTACCGAATTCTCCTGAAGAACTCATTCTCTCTCAATCTGATTGACCCTAACTAAGAATTTGCTTAAGTGAAAACACAAGAGATATTCCTCTCATGATACCGAGGGTAGATAATCCTTTGTTGATATACAATTGCCTTCGTAAAGTTGGTTGTCATTCTCAATGACTATTTGTATTAGATCTAAAACTTCCAGACCTATAAATCTAATATTAAAGAATTGAGTATTCAAACAATGCATTCTTGGTGTCTTAAGTCTAAGGACCAAATAAACAATTGAGACTATGAAATTATTGTATGATGATAAGGTATTATTAACCATCCAGCATTCTGTAAATAAATCATTCAGTGAACTCATTCTTCAATGAGCATATTTAGCCATGGCAGATCATCTTGAATCTTTTATTGTAGTACCGTTCAGTAAAGTTTATATTTATAATTTATATTGTCAAGTATTTACTAAATGACTCCTTATATATTTCGAATTAAATATTTTCTCCTTTCTTTTTTTTTATCGTTAAGGGAACCCGTGACATCATAGAATTGAACTGGGCAACGAGAGGCTGTGTGGTATCTCCATGGAAGCTTCTTACCCTATTAAGCCATCTCCCAACCCGTGCAGAAGAAGCCGCATCTTTGATGAGGACTGAAAGCTATTTGCTGCTGCCAAAAGAAGATTAAGTTGCTGCTTTGATAATTTACTTTCGTGCAGACCTTTGGACCACTTGTCATGTTTTAGGATACCGCATTGCTATATGAAATAAGATAACGAATATGGAATTAATGATGATTTGAATGTTAAATACTTGCTTGAGCTTTCTGAGCAACTTCTAGCAGATTATTTTGGTCCAAGACGAACAGATACTTGTAGAGTAGATAACTGAGAGAGGCAGCTGAAATAAAAGGTGTAATCACAAGTAGAAGAATAATCGTAGAAAGAGAATCTACACTTTGAAACACTTAATGATACGAAGAAGAATAATGGTAAGACAAAGGCATTTATAGTTCCGAACACCAAACGAGATCGATCATCCATCAACACCATATACACAAATTTCCATTCTTATCAGCAGAAGCTAGTGTGTTCCCCGGTCCACCATATGCGCATGAAAGAACTGGTGAAGAATGCCCCTCCAAAATGCTCAGCATGTTATTGTTTAGTCTTGACCATATATAGATAGATCCATCAGATGATCCCGCCGTGACACACTTCTCGTCGGGACTGATACACGACCTGCTCCAGTTTGATGCAACTCTGTTGCCATTGGCTCTGAACGTCCCACAAATTTCCAGTGTTCTCAAGTCAAATAGGTTGTGTAAATTGTCCCTTCCACTTGTCAGCAACAAGTTCCCGCTTTGGGATACGTAAATCGATGTGACTGCCTGCGAATGAGCAGCTACTTCGCCCACAACTTTTCCCATCCTGCTATCCCAGATCCGAAGGTTACCATCTACATGTCCGGAGCAGAAGGTAAGTCCATCCATGGTGTAAGAAAGCGAGTTGCAGTTGCTCTGGAAGATAATGGTATTGGTGCAGTAGCCTTTCACCAGATCCCAGACCTTCATGGTATGATCGTAAGCAGCGCTCACTAAATTGCGGCTGGAAACTTTGCTTGCATCAACAGCACATACTTTGTCAGTGTGGCCAGTGAGTGTATGTCGTACCCGACCGGAGCTAGTCTCCCATACATATAGGTTGTTTGAACTGCTGGCAGCAATGATAAATCTGTTGTCATGTGTGATAGCAAGATCAAGTAATGACCCAAGGCAACCATGAAGAGTGGAGCTTAGTGTCCCAGATTTTGTATCCCAGATCTTGACGGTCCGATCCTGGCCGCCACTAATCAGCTTATCCGAGTTGTTTTGGAACAAAATGGATCCGCACCCACCTTCATGAGCATGAAGTGTGTGCTTGCAAGACGATGGAACTGTTGATTCCACATGGTCCACATATCCAGCTTCCCTTTGGCGAACGATTCCATCAACTTGTTGTCGTGCAAGTTGTTCAATGCTGGACACCTTCAACTGTTGCATCATGTCCTCATACATTGCATTAACCTGCAAACATGATAAAATGTCAGGGATGACGCGAAAGATGCTTTAGTCTATAGCTAAATAGTTTTCAAGTGTTAATGACTTTGTTCCAAGTAAAACAAACACGATATTGATGACTTGGTTTCAGGAAAAAAAGGAAGATAATGAACTAATACTGGAAAGACCAAGTGAACTTAGAACTCACAAGGGCATGTGGAAATGGTATCAAACAGATATAAAACTAGTATTGGAAAAGATCAAGCGTTTAGGCATGGATAAGGCCCAAACTGTTTTACTAAGAAACAAACTGATCAATTTCCCCAAATTAATCGTCTCCCATCAGCTTCTCTTGTATGGTATATTTACAAATGATTCACAATGCTGAATAAGACAATTTATCATGTCGTTGAAGATATTTAACTTTGTAAAAACCCAGTGAACTGCACAGAGTCATTCCATCAGCCCAACATGCAACTATATGAGAATAATCGCCATTGCTTGCCTGCCACTTTAAAAAGTTATTCTCCCAAAAGAAAAGAATTCCAATGCATCAACATCAAAGATGAGAAAAAACTC